GTGTGTGTGTGTGTGTGTGTGTGTGTGTGTGTGCATCACCAGGTGGCTGATACTGTTCCTCTGGAGTTTTAGAAGATGAAACTAGGTGCAATTTTACATGCAAAATACAAAAACAGACCACTTGCCGTGTCAAGTGAAGTAAGAATTCAATGTCTTTTTTGACAGGCAGGAATCCAATTTTCATTTTAAATAATGCTGAGGTACAAGAACGACAGGACACACTTGGAGTAAGAACAATTCTGTTTGCAAATTAAACGAGCAAGTGGACTTTACCTCAAAAATCTTAATTCAGCCTTAACAAGGTGTGCCTAGAAATGACAATGACACATACTCAAGTTGTTAGGCATCATAAACATCATAAACGTTGCCCGGCTTCTTCCAGCGTTGTGTCTGCTTTATTGGAGGCTGTTTTTGAGGGTTCTAAGATCCTGATTAAAATTCAATGCGTTAGTGGCTTCAGGCATAAACAAAGAGTGTGGCCCAGTCTGACAGCTGCTGTGTCAAGTTGTTAGCTTTGTCAGACAAAAGTGACAAGCGAGATTCACCTCACGAATCCCGCTAAACAGTCACGCAGTCTGCAGGGTGCCACCCTCATGGAGACTTTTCAAACAATTCACAGCAATCAGACTGATTAACCACAGGTAGCATATCCAAAATATACACTGTAGGGTTCCAGGAAGACATTTCATGCAAAAACAACAACGATTGGTACAATTTTAAAGGGGTCATATGATGCAATTTCATTTTTTCCTTTCTCTTTGGAGTGTTACAAGCTCTTGGTGCATAAAGAAGATCTGTAAATTTGCAAAGACTAAAGTCTCAAATCCAAAGAGATATTCTTTATAAAAGTTCAGAGTCAGCCACACCTACCTAAAACGGCTCGTTCTAACACGCCCCCACATGTCTACCTCACTATGTGGGAAGATTTGCATAACGCCGCCCAAATGTTCACGCAAAGAAAGAAGGCGTAACTTTTATTCTCGCTGTAGTATTGTTGCCGCTGCCGCCATGTCGTGAAGACGCTGTGTGCTTCGTTGTGAAAGCGAAACTACTTTGTTTGGTCTTCCAAAAGAGGACGATATCCGCTTCGTCATGCCTAGAGCTGATCCGTGCTGGTCACTGAGGGAATACATCAACTTAGTGCTGTGGATCACCGCGTCTCACGCTTGAGGTATTCGGCCAATCACAACGCACTGGATAACTGGCCAATCAGAGCACACCTCGCTTTTTCAAACCGATGAGCTTTGTGAAAATCGACGCGTTTCAAAAAGGCGGGGCATAGAGGAGAAACAATAATGTACAGTATGTGGAAAATAATGCGTTTTTTTAACTTTAAACCGCATAAACATTACACCTTACACCAAATACACAAAATAATGGTCTTTTTAGCAGCATCATATGACCCCTTTAATAAACCAGGAGTCAGGAGTCATTTGTCCACACAAATGCATTACAATGCTCTAGCAACCACCCACAACACTCTAGCATCAAGCCAGTGATGTTTGAGAGGTCAAGCACCAGTCATATCTTTGAGATAAATATATTGTAAAAAAAATAATTTGTTTACTCTGATGTGTGCATTGGTACCTGGTCGTAGGAGAGTGATTCCACAGCCTCCTCCTCCTGCCCCAGTCAGTTTGCTATGCAGGCCCCTGGCCAGAGTGACCCTACACAGTGTGTCCAGAGACGAGTGCCCCACACCCATCACGTTCAGATGGTGCTGGTTTATATCAATCAGCTCCTGGAGACAAATGACACAGAGAGAAATGTCTTAAAAAGATCAATATAATCCATCCATGCATCCACCCATCAGGGCTTTCTCCGAATAAAAATATTGATCACTTCTTTGCTCTTTTGCCACTTTTTATTTAAATGAAAGTCAAGGGAGGACAGAAAATTACGGGCAGAGACAGATAGATTCAAACTTGCATCTCCCTTATGCACGCCACAAATCAACGAGTAAATGTGCAAACTACTAGGCCATGTGTCCCACACCAGAATAGAATCTTTGCTCTTGTGTAATATAACAAGTTTTGATACAGGGTGTTCACTACACAACCTTTTCTGTTTGTCCCAAACATGATAGATATGAGTCAGATTGTATGGTATGACTAGGTATCAAATTTTCATGTTGCAATTAATTGCTAATGCTTTTATCACGGTATACGTTATTATCACGATATTGAAATTTAGTTGCAAAAAATGGTTGTCATAATACAGTATAACTTTTTTCTTACAACAAAAATAACTGAACATTTAAATACAATAAAGCAATACAAGAAAAATGTATAAAGTTAAAAATTTTACACAGATTAAAGTGCAAAAGAATTATAAAGACCAATAGGTATCACTTTACAATAATATCTCATTAGTTAACCTTGGTTAATGCATTAACATTCACAATGAGCAATAGCTACATTTGCTACAGTAGTTATTAATCTTTGTTAAAAAATACAAGTCTTAGTTCATGTTATCTCATTAAATAACACAGTTGCAAGTGACCCATTTATGTCTGACTGTATGACAAATGTCATAGCTAAGATTTGGTCAGAATTGATAATGCTGACTGGGCATTTTAAGTCACCAGCCCATGTCTATTCTGACACCCTCATTTACATACAAAAATTAAATGATGACACAAGCAAGCTTTTGCAGTAGTGTTAGTTACATTTCGCCTGGAAAATAATACTTAAAGATAAACAAAAATAAAATGGCAAAAAAAAAAAAAGAAAAGTATAAATTAAAAAAAATACAAAATACAAAATTTAAAAAATATATAATAATACATAACTGTTAAAAAGTTTGGAGTCAAATATATTAGTCCTTTTATTTAGAAAGGATGCATTAAATTGATCAAAGGTGACAGTACAGACTTATAAATATATATTTCAAAAAAATGCTGTTCTTTTGAATGTTGTATTCATCAAATAATCCTGCAAAACAAATGTGTTTCCTCAAAAATATTAACCAGCACAACTGTTTTCAAAATTAATAATAATAAGAAGAAGAAATATTTCTCGAGGACCAAATCAGCATAATAGAATGACTGAAGACTGGGGTAATGGCTGCTGAAAATTTAGTTTTGCCATGACAGGAATAAAATTACATTTTAACATATATTAATAAGCAAAACAGTTATTTTAGTTTTTCAAAACTATTTTACAATATTATTAAATATTTAATCAAATAAATATGTGACCGTGGTCCACAAAACCAGACATAAGGATACATGTTTTGAAATTGAGATTTATACATCATCTGAAAGCTGAATAAATAAGTTTTCCATTGATGTATGGTTTGTTAGGATAGGACAATATTTGACCGAGATACAACTATTTGAAAATCTGGAATCTGAGGGTGCAAAAACTTCTTATAAATACTTATAAAATCATCTTTAAAGTTGTCCAAATTAAGTTCTTAGCAATGCATATTACCAATCAAAAATTAAGTTTTGATATATTTACGGTAGGAAATGTACAAAATATCTTCATGGAACGTGATCTTTACTTAATATCCTAATGATTTTTGGCATAAAAGAAAAATCGATAATTTTGACCCATACAATGTTTTTTTTTGGCTATTGCTAAAAATATACCCAAGCAACTTAAGACTGGTTTTGTGCTCCAGGGTCACATAAAGCCTTGGTGAGAATAAGAAATTCCTTTAAAAAAAAAAAATAAACATTTTAAAAACTGTATCAACCCCAACTTTTTAACAGTACTAAATCGCAAAAGCAACTGCTCATTTTTCCTTATCATGACAGAAATCATTACGATCCTGAAAATGTGTCTTAGACAAAAAATTATGCCAAAAATTGAAAAATGTCTGACACAAATGATAAATAATATACACCTACTGCACATTGCTAAAGGTATCACCTTCTCTATGAAGGAAAAGCCGTATGATTGTACCTCCAGTATGTTGTAGAGCTCAGCTGAAGGTCCATGCGCGGCCATCTCTGTGAGAGTCTGTTCACAGGCGCAGGACACAGCGCTGACGGACTCCAGAACTGGCTTCATTACGGAGGGAAACTGCAAAGTAACACAGCACAAAGGACTATGAGGACAGAATACAGATACTGTACAAACAAGAAAAATGATCCGTTTAAGCTTGTCACATCAAAAGATATTTATAATTGTCAGCCTTAGAAAAGCAAGATATCACTGTACATCTGCTACTCAAATTCTTGCTATTTGATAATAATAGCAAGACTCCAATGTGCTATGTCGAATTTTTGTTTGCATTCATCCATCCATGATATTGATATTTCTCAACTCTGAACTGAATCAATGAGGTCTGTATCCGCCATGATTTTGTAAAAATGTTAAAATTACCATTTTTTGCTGACACTCTTGGGTGCTGTACTAAGTGTTAGGTTAAAGCAAGATGTAATGCCATCATACTGAATTCATCAACTGGATATTCTTTAAATCATCTTTTGTGTTCCACGGAAGGAGGAAAGTGACGCGGGAGTCATGATCAACTGGATATTCTTTAAATCATCTTTTGTGTTCCACGGAAGGAGGAAAGGGAGTAATGATTTTTTAACCATTCCTTTAAAGCAAATTCTAAGGCTGATGATACACAGGGCAACTTTTTGAACAATGTTGCCGGGCAACTTTGGGAAATGTTGCCATCAATGGGCAACCAGGTGAGACACAGGGCCAACGACCGATCTAAAGTATCCAAATAGAAATTTGGTACCCATTCTCAATGGGAAAGTGCCCAAGCAACATTGCTTAAAAAACATTGCTCCATATTTTTGGTCATTGCTCAAAAAGTTGCCCCGTGTATCATCAGCCTAAAAGGGTGGAAACAGTAAAACTAAATCTCAATTGTTTATGACTTACTGCTTTGACTAATAATGCCACAAAAGTGTAGAATATGACCCCTTTAAAGTCTGCCCTGACTTTTTGCTGTTTTCCGTCCCGATAATTCCGGAATTCCACTACACCAATCAGGATGTGCCAACAGTGAGGCTACCTGCTGCCGTTGTCAAGGTAACGGAGCACAGGAGCGTTGGCACAGTGTTTAATTTGGAGCTCTTATAAAAGGCACTCAGCACCGGGCCCCTGGAGTGTTCCTCCCTCGCACACACCGGGCATTATGCTAATTGAAGGGCACAGGAATAAAAACATGGAGGGGGGGGGGGTTGAGGGGAGCCATTTACTACCTTGTTAATTTTGTCCTTCACTGCAGAAACAAGCACTTTGGGGCTACGTGGTACTTTGGTGTTAGTGAGAAGGATTCTCAGAATGGGGACCCTAGGGAGGAAATGAACCCAATAACACACTTAGAAAATTCTGCTGGTTCTGTCATTTCACTGAAATAACTTTTTATATATGTAATTTTATAATAATGACAAAATATATTGTGAAAATATTTTTTGCAGAGTATAGTTTTACCAGCTTAGTGGAGTTATATTCCCAGCATGGTATCTTAAAAAGCCACCTGTTATAAAAAGCATAAAGTGATGAAGCATAAATGTAATAATAAATAAATAAAATGAAGCAGAACCATGAATGCATAAGATTGACTTTTACCCCATGTGCCCACAGCATTGTCCACCCCTGAAGGGTTACCGTGGATGATCTTCTCACCCATGAACGCCCACCTGTTAATCAGCTCCATCTCCTCTTTACTCCACCCGCAACACCAACAGATGAAAGATTCTCAATTACCTTAATACTAATACAGTTAACAGGTAGACTGCCTATAGCCTCAAAAAAAAAAGTAATAAAAAATAAATGCTAGTAATAAATAGTAATAAAACAAATCTTTTTGTTTTAGAACTTTCTATTCATCAGAGAATCTTGAAAAAAAAAAGCATAATGGTTTCCACAAGAATATTAAGCAGCATTGCTAACAATGTAGCTTTGTTCAATAGATTACATTAAAAAATAGAAAAAAGTTATTATAAAAAGTAACAATATTTCAAAATATGTTTGTTTTTATTTGTGTTTTTTTCAAATAAAATCATCATTGGTGAAAAAAAAAAAGACCTATTCCAATCCTTGTGTTTTCCCCCCTTATTTTTAGCCATTTTTATTGAACAATAATGTAGGAAGAGGACAGAAAAAATAATAAAGGTGATCACCTGCAGAAACACTGCAGCTAAATGTGATTGAGTGTGACCAGCAGAGCAATTCTACATTTTATGCCTTTTGATCCTTATTTCCTCTGGAAAGTGTATTTTGAACCACACATTTTCAAATTTTGAGAGGACAGACGAAGGACAAAGACTTAATCTCTGTTCCTTGGTTACTTAAAGGGATAGTTCACCCAAAAATGAAAATGCTTATCTGCTTACCCCCAGGGCATCCAAGATGTAGGCGACTTTGTTTCTTCAGTAGAACACAAACGAAGATTTTTAACACAAACCATTGCAGTCTGTCAGTCATATAATGGAAGTGAATGGGAATCACGGCTTTGAGAGTCAAAAAAACATACACAAACAAAACCAAATTAAACCCTGTGGCTCGTGACGATACATTGTGTAAAGACACGAAATGATCTGTCTGTGCAAGAAACTGAACAGTATTTATATCGTTTTTTACCTCTGATTCACCGCAATGTCCAAACTGTCCTGAGCGGTTTGCGTCTTCTTCTTGCTTTACGGCAAATCGCAGACTTAGAAGAGCATTACCGCCACCTATCTGTCAAATGGACCACTGACACTCCTAACTGAGATTGTAGATAGTGTCAATGGTCCATTTGAGAGATAGGTGGCGGTAATGCACTTATAAGTCTGCGATC